TTGCATTGGAAACAGAGGTGCTGTTTTCCAACATGAAGGGAAAATAAACAATAAAATGTACACAATAAAAGAAGATTATAAATTATCCCAAACATTAATGATATATGAAAATACACTTTATGTTGACAGGTAGTCAGAATTGGTTCAGTATGACATGTTTCAATGAAATACGAGTACGATCTTCATGTCCTTTTTACGTTTAGAATGACTTACTTTATTCTGTCATGGAGAAATAATCGAACTAGATATGCAAAATTGAGATATAAAATCAGAGTGTATTAATAACTCCTCAGTATTTAAACGGACATTCACGAAGACATTACTTCTGGATAACAGAAAACAGACATAAACGTCAAGTCTACAGGCAGGCACTTATTCATAAAAACACCTGGAGAAGAAAAACATTAGATTAATCATAAACACTAAACGTATATAAGTTCACAGGTAAGCAAACCACATATGCTTGCATGAGCGCGACATCTACAGTTTCTTTTACCAATCCTGCTGTCTTATGTATTTGTTAGTGAGAAGTTATTAGAAATAGTGCTTGAACCATACCCATGCAGAAAACTTACTTCTACCCAAAATAAAACCCAAAGACGTTTCCCGCAAACCCAGTCTCCACCCGTCATACACTATATCAGAAACAAGCAACGAGGCAAGAGATACAGACAAAGCACTCGCCGAAGCCATCCTCGATGCTGAAAAGCTTTTGATGTATGGCACGAAGGTCTTTGCATGAAACATTGTATCAAATTCAACCATGTTGATTCCTTCTAAAAGATTCACAAACTGCACCAGTCAGCAAGGTAAAATGGCTAGACCAGCTTAGCAGTCATTTCCACGTAGATCAGGACATCAGCAGAACACCCAATTATCCTCAATCCTACCTATAACTGCTACAGCAATGACCTCCTTTATACCCTCCAAATGATTCATGTGAGGTGAGGCAACAATTTGGACCGCTTGCAAATGATTACCCACTGAAATCCAAGGTAATGACCCTGTAGACAATTTTATACTTCACAAGCGCTGATCACTTTTAAGTTAACCTCTCAAAAGCAATACTGTAATCTTCGATTAGTCAAAATATGGATAACACAATCCATGAAATTGAGAAAGAAAAAAAAATAACAATGATGCTGAAGCAAGAACCCACTCTGGCATCTCCATGATGGAGAAAAGAGACTACATGGAAAGAACAGAGTGAATCCTATTGCATCATATGCAAATAATGCACGTCTAGTATTTGCCATGGATTAGACGCGACACAGAGCTAAATAGCGGACCTATTAAGGCCGAAAAGTACAGCAAACAGATTCTACATCCGATTCAGTTTATCACATATAAAGATGCCACAGCTTTAATCTGTATGCTTCTAGCTGCAATCTACATAGATGCTCATATAAAGGTGAAAACTCTGACACTGTTTGGAAACATCATGCGAAGGCCAGAATCAAACGAGTTGAAAAGTTTTCGTATGCAGCCCTCAGAAAAAATATTATCGTAGCTGCAAATTTGTTTACCTACATAAGGAACACTCTACATCAATATTCCTTACCTTCGACCTAACTGATAACCCCACATCAAGCAATGTTGAAAAGTAGAGCTAAAGAAGTTCATAAAACCTACTGGTGAAAGACATAGGATGTTGTAAATCTATTTAACTAATTACTCAGATATCAAACAAAGTCTAAGATAATCAACGGATGCATATACCCTATGGACGTCTGCCTCAACCAAAGAAAGTTCGATAACCGAAGCTTTCATTTAACAAGGGTTTCAACAAACCCTATCTACTACCAAGTACATTCTTTAAAAATAGCATGGCATTTAAAGTGTTTTTATGTATTGGTATATCAAATTGTGATCCGCGACGAACGCAGATGATTTCGTTTGTCATCCCACGATACTTCTCGACTTACGAATGATGGCGAACGTTATGACAAATCGACCAAAGAATGAAAGAGGCAGGGAGAACTTTAAAGTCAAACCGATCAGAGAGAGAGAGAGAGAGAGAGAGAGAGAGAGAGAGAGAGAGAGAGAGAGAGAGAGAGAGAGAGAGAGAGAGAGAGAGAGAGAGAGAGAGAGAGAGAGAGATTAGGGTACTGTTGCTAAAGCAGAATACTGACTTAGATCAGCTTTAAATATATTAAAATATTTTAATTACCTATTGCTATTTCATCATTTCGCTTAGTTACTATTCCACATTAATTTCCATGAGCCAATAGGTGAATGGCTTAGTGTTCATATGAATGGCGTAGCTAACTAAATATTTGTAGTGCTCTGCTTATATTATCAAAATCATATTTAATGTTTAAATCCTAATTTTGTATTATATTGATTTAATCAATGCAAAGAAAAATAGAAACTAAACAATAGAAAACAACTTATCAATATGCTAAGTGATTGTGAATAGCCACAAAAGGCATAGAACTACATTCTATAGCGGATACACACGGGGATGTGTATTCATTCATTCAGTAATACACAGCTGCTTGTAGTAAATCTTAACTCTGTTCAAACCGCAAATATATGTATTTGTATGTGATATAAATAAAACATATGTACAGTATGTACGCTGTATCAATGTTATACCACTTGTTATATAAATTTTTCATTTAAAGGAAACTCAGTAAGCCTAATTTCCTTTAAAGGAAAAGTTATGTATCTCGTGGTATATCACTGATACATCGTACATGATATATATATATATATATATATATATATATATATATATATATATATATATATATATATATATATATATATATACCAATTCTTTGTTTTTTGTTAATCAGCAAACATAATATTTAGGGTGCGTCAATATGGGTACCGGCGACGATATTTGTGCGTCAAATTGGAAAAGTCTGCGTATATGACGCACTATAAAGCACTGATATATATATATATATATATATATATATATATATATATATATATATATATATATATATATATATATATATATATATATATAAACGTATACTATCCTCATGCATACATGCATATTTTTTGTGTTTTTCTAGTAAAGGACTTGGAATATACAATTTTAGTGCATATTTACATGCCTTAAGAAGGAATATATCTATACTCAGAGACCGGACGCATCGCTTGCTTAATTACTGCATTCTGTCTTCTTTGGGAAAATAATATGCTAACTAATTATGCAAATATTCATAGATTCTGTGTGTTCATATTGAAGTCATCATGGTTTTGTAGAACGTAAATTGTCAACGCTAACATCTTTATTTAATCCAATTGTGTAGAACCACATTTCTCTATCACCACTAAAAACTATATTTTATTTTTCCCAGACTTCAGTACACACATAAAGTACTAAAGGAATTACAGCTATCGGCATGATAGGAGAATTGCATGATGGAACGAAAAAGTGGTATAAATCAAGCTACTAATTAAGATAAACCACATAAAAATAATACATTTCTATGTTTGAGCACTTAAAGCTGAATTAATTATATTCCTATTTGGAATGGGTCCAATACTAAATTAGTGATACAGTACGACCTAAAGGCTATTGTATCTACTGCGCTAAATTTATATTCAGTTGCAAAAAAAAACCCCAGATAATATCGACTTAATGTCCAGCATAGATCAGGCGAAACACAGTCATTGATACACTTAATACATTTTTTAACCTACGCGAGCTAGTTTTGATAAAGATATGTAGTATAAGGCATCCAAAACAATACTTTGAATAGTTCTGGTAAGAGACTGAACACAGTTCAGACTTATATCCATCAGGCCTCATTCAGGCCTTTGCTGTTAACTGCAGTTTCAAAACACCTACTCAGTCAGGCCTTTGTTGTTCACTGCAGTTTCTGTCCACCTACTCAGTCAGGCCTTTGCTGTTCACTTCCTTATCTATGAACCTCTTCAGTCATGTCTTTTTTGTGAACTGTGATCTCTGTGAACCTGCTTTATTCCATGTCTGTCAACCAACCTATTCCATTATACTTTCATTACGGATGTCATTATGCAAGTAGGGGTGGCTATTCGATTGCCAAATAGGTATGTTCAGAAAGCCTACGTTGTCTTATATACTTGTATGTATCTTAATATCAAAACACATCGTCATGGCTCATGTCTAAAACAAGGAAAATAAGAATTTTGTCAGTTATTACAGGACACTAATATCTCGTCATTCGTTTTTTTTTTCCTTTGTAGGACGTGTGTCTGAGGGACGTGATCTAATTCTGATATAGACACTGATTCTACGAAATAAATCGATTATCAAAAGTTAAATAAGCGCTAGTAATGAGACAGATTTTTTCCTGTATTGTTTAAAAATGTCAGTCTATCCAAACAAACGGGGAAGCTGTGACGAAAGTAAACGTCAGTTTGGTTCTGAGCATTAATAAGAAGATTGCTTGTGCAAGCAAGTGGAGAAATTGTGCATTTAATGTGATTGTTTTGATCCAGTTGATGAGTGGTCGTTCGAGTGTTTGTGCGCGTGCATTTTTCGGTTTAGGTTACTGACAATTTTTGATAGATTTTTTGCGAGAGTTTTAAGAGTTTATATGGATGGCTGATGATTCAGTACTGAACAAAAACCTTGAACTACGTGTGAACAGTTAGTGCTTGCGAGTGTGAGAGACCGAGTGCGTCTATGTGTGTGTGTGTGTGATTATGTTACAACAACACTTAAACGATATTAACATCACACATTATATATAACTGTGAAGCGTCAATTTGTGTGTTTTTTCATGGGAAAGACATCAAGATGTGACGACAATGCATAAATGTTTATGGATGCACGGATCTGCGGTTCACAAAAATGGTAGTCCAATTACGTGTAAGCAGTGTGAGGTTGGTGTAAAGGCTAAATACGCGTTATATCTAGTGTATGGCGGTGGTAATATCCAGCTAGAAATCAGATACCTTGATAATAAATCATTACCACATGGATATTCGGGCTTGTTTCACTCGATGGCTTCGACACGGTAATGCAAGATGTAGTACTAGATGTAATTAGCTTCGTCATGGTGGTCTAGTGGTTAGAGCGTCCGCCTTGAATGCGGGCGGTCGCAGGTTCCAACCCCGGCCAAGTCATACCAATGACTTATAAAATGGTTATTGATATGACTTGACCGAGGTTCGAACCCGAACCTGAAGCAGTGCCGGATCAACCATTGTGCTTAGGTGTGCTTAAGCACAGGGCCCCTGTTTAGGAGGGGGCCCATCTTCTTGACAAATAAAATTACGATTAATTTTTTAAAAGTCTGTGGTTATTTTAACTACTAAATTACCTGAGTATATATGCCTAAAGGGCCTACCTCCTTCAGGAACCAAGTAAGGGACCTCAAAACTTTACTAGCACAGGGTCTCGTTTGTCCTAATTTCGGCACTGACCTGAATGATCCCGAAGTAGCAGAAGCTGATTGGTGGGAAATTTTCACCGCTCACCATTCTCGATGCTGACGATATATACATGGACATGTTGATCACTATCTTTAATACGGCAACGACCGAAACAGCCAGCGAGATCCTTGGTAGATATCGACCAGTCAAAAAGCCCTGGGTCACAGTTGAGGTCCTGAACCTGTGTAACAAGAGAAGGGAGCTGAAGAAGAAAAATAACGATACAGAAGGGGCACAGCAGTACAAGGCAGTCAACAAGGAAGTCAAGAAAATCACGAAAAAAGCAAAAGAGAAATGGTTAGAAAAACAGTCCAATGTTATTGAAGAAAACTTGGAACGGAACGACAGCAAGAAAGCGTACAAACTGGTCCAAGATCTAACAAGCACAAAATAATGGCGAGTAACCTTCTTACAGGACAAAGCAAAGTGTGAAACTGCCTAACAGAAGAAAAAGACATTCGGAAAAGATGGACAGAGTACTGCGTATAACTTTACAACCACCGAGCTATCATAGGTCCAGAGGTACTGAACGTTTCTCCAGCAACTAACAACGACAACCACCCTATCATACGTGAAGAAATAGAAGCAACAGTGAGATCGCTGAAAAAGAGGAAGTCAGCAAGAGTGAACAACATCCTAGCAGAACTGGTCTAAGCAGAGGGAGAAGCAATGATTAGCGCCCTCACAAACATTTGCAAAAAGATCTGGCAAACAGGAGTAAGGCCATCGCAGTATACCAAATCACTGATCATCACCCTCCCGAAGAAAGGCAACTTGCAACAATGTTAAAACCACCGTACACTCAGTCTTGTAAGCCAACCAAGCAAAGTCATGTTGATGATGCTGCTGAATAGACTAAAGCCACAAGCTGAAGAAATCATTGCTGAGGAGAAGGAAGGTTTCAGAGCAGGGCGTAGCACAAAAAAGCAGATCTGTGTAAGAAGTACCTCTAACACCAGCACGATCTGTACCACGTCTTCGAGGATTTCAAGAAGGCATTTGAAAGGGTATTTTATGCAACCTTGTGGGCGACCATGAAACTGCACAACATCAATGCCAACCTTATTACAGCAAAAGAGCACCTCTATGACAAGCCAACCAGTGCAGTATACTTCAGCGGAAACATAAGGGGCTGGTTCAGAACAATAGTTGGAGTCAAATAAGGCAGTCTGCTCTCTTCTACATTATTCAACATCTTTTTGGAGAGAATTATGGCCGACGCAAATGAGAAGGATGAAGGTCAGCATCGGAGGCAGAAGTCACCAACATACATTTTGCCGACGACATTGATGGACTAGCAGGAAATGAGCAAGAAATAGCTATAGTAGAGAGCATCGACATAATCTCTACAGCCTACGGTATGGAATTCAGTGCAGAGAAGACCAAAACGATGACCAGCAACACCAAGGGCATCAGGGTCCAAGGTACCTAGCTAGAAACAGTCCACAGCTTCAAGTATTTGGGGCAATTGTAACAGATCAAGTCTCGAAGCCTGAAATACTCTCAAGGATTGCGCAGACAACAGCAGCGCTGACAAAAGTGAAGCCCAACTGGAGCGACAAGAACATTGCATTCAGTTCAAAGGTCAGACTGATGCACTCACTGGTGATCTCAATATTTCTCATGGATCTTAACAGCTGATGTAGAGAAAAAGGATGCAGACCACAGAGACGAGACGTTTCCTAAAGCCATTGGGCCTCACGAAGACGTTCTGACCACAGTGAAAAAATGTAAACTGCAGTGGCATGGGCATGTCTCACGATCATCAGGACTTGCTAAGACAATCCTGTAAGGCATTGTACAAGGAAGAAGAGGGCAGAGATAAGCTTTAGAAATACAACGTTTGGTAGTGGACAGTTTTGACTCACTGAGAAAGACGGAAATTCGAGAGGAATGGAGGAAGCTGACTGTTTGATTTTGTGCGGTGCCCTAACGGTCTATCAGACTACGGGACTGATGATGATGATGATGATGATGATGATGATGATGATGATGATGATGATGATGATGATGATGATGATGATGATGATGATGATGGTGACGACGACGATGATGAAGTTAGGACTGGTCGGCCTGGTGTCTGGATAATGTGACTGAGTGGGACGTTATGCCATTTCTTTGCGGCATGAATCCCCAGTGCATATGTATGTCTATTTGTATGTACCCTTATGATGCTTACATTTTGTTTAAACTGGACCTTCTAAGCAAAATAAATTGATTGATAGATATGCATATATGTATGTAAGTAGTTTCAAATCATACATTTATGCCTGTTTGGATTCAATCATGAACTGAGTGTGTTTAGTTTTGGATTTGTACTGAAGCTTGAACAATCTGAGTCATATCGCTATGATTTATGCAGTTTGGAAGTTTATAGTGATGTCTAAATGTAGATATGTAGCAGTATGTCCCACCCAGTCACAATATCCTGACACTAGGCCGACTAGCCATAACACTAACATCTTAATGCCGTGCACCAAGCGAGGCAGCTGCTAGTACCATGTTTATAAGTCTTTGGTATGACTCAACCGGGATTCGAACCCTCCACCTCAGGCACCCAAAGCGGATGCCCTAATCACTGGAACTTGTTTTTTAAACTTAATTGTTATATTACAGCTTTTGTTTATCAAAGAGCTATATAGAGCTAATTGCTTTTATACTATAAACGCATACCTACTCTAACTAAAATTGGCATATTGTATACTACCTATAAATGGAATTATCAGAATAAAAAGTAGACAAAGTAATTATAATTTTCTACTTAAGCAACCAGCTTTAACAGGCAAATATATAGATGCAAATATTCACTTGCAGAAGTCCAAAATGATCTTTCAGCAAGCAAATAAGTACAAAAATGGCTTTTAAAAATAATCTAGAATTATTATGTGACTTGCAGTTGGAGATACTACTACATTCATTTTTGTCTAAGATATGTCGATTTAAAACCTGCGGAAGTTCATTTTTATACATATTAAAAGTACACAGAGCCTGCTAGCTGTCCAAATCATTTAGATTCGGGCTTAGCTGTTTAAGGTAATATGAAAGTCAAAATAGAACATTAAGAATTGTAAGATTACTCAAGCCGCAAGCAGTAAACCATTGATTTCAAATAACTATATTTTCAAGATTAGTTTTGGTTTATTTGTACGAAGACTTGCTTATTACTCATACATTAAAGAAGGAAATCAACACAAGATTTCAATTTCGAACCCATTATGTGCTGTTTATTTCACTGCCTATGTCTATAAAACCTTTCTATTGCGAGTCGCAATGGACACAAAATAGTGCACAAATCAAATTTAGTCTAGTTCTGTGTTCAGTTGAAATGACCGTGCAGTGTTTTAATGAGTGGATAGCAACCGTTTTCCTCCAACAAATCCTTCAGATTTTATTATTTTATTGTTGAATTCCCAGCACAAGTATGACATTCGGAAACATTACATGTAAATGGGGAAGACAATTCATATTTTATAACATTGGCGGGGGATCTAGAAATATCAATTTATATCGTTCAGGGAAGCGTAAATAAATGAGCGAGGGGTCTAGGTTTTAAAAATGGCACTAGCTGCTGCTTCGCTTGGTGCTCCGTATAAGAGATTCGTGTTACGACTGGTCTGCCTGGTGTCATAATGTAACTGCGTGAGACATGATGCTACATGTATGAGGTATGATGCCCCACTGCATTGTAGCGATATGACTAAACTTTTTAAACAGCATTAAAAATATAAATCACACACACACACACACACACACAGACAGAGAGTTGAATATGTACTGGCATGGGAGTCATTTTATCACATCTTTCAATTTCCCTAATCATTTGAATATATAATGGGACGAGACTATTTAATCACAGACTGCTCTTCAACTTTATTTCGTGCTCTGTTGTGGTTCGTTTTTTTATATACAAAATATATCATAAACGTAAACCAAGCAGTGAAACATCTAAGTGTCGCCCAATATGTAGTGATTTATTCATATATTCATCTTGATATAGAACATGGGTGGACGAAGAGGACAAACTCCCAGATTCAAGTAGCAACGTCTCTTTTAATTACCTTGTTTTATTGTTAAAAATAAATCGATTCCCTGCAAACTGGAGATAAAGATATATTAACTGATGTTTACAATGTTTTTTGTGATTGTGAGGTATGCATTCAGATTATAGATTATCCCGTAGGTACAATGATAAACACTGAAACATTGCCCAAAACATTAGATCAATAATAACTTGATTAATACAGTGATAAACAGTGATAATACAGTGATAAATAATGTGGCAGTGCCAAAACATTAGATCATTATTAGTACGGTGATAAATACTGTGACATTGCCTATATTAGATCATTAGTACAGTGATAAACACTGGCATTGCCCAAAACATTAGATCATTATAAAATGATTAATACAGTGATACACACTGGCAGTGCCAAAACATTAGAGCATTAGTACAGTGATAAATACTGTGACATTGCCCATATTAGATCATTAGTACAGTGATAAACACTGGCATTGCCCAAAATTTTAGATCATTAGTACAGTGATATATACTGTGACATTGCCCATATTAGATCATTAGTACAGTGATAAACTGTAGCATTGCCCAAAATATTAGATCATTAATACCGTGATTAATACAGTTATAAACACTGTGGCAGTGTCAAAACAGATCATTAGTAAAGTGATAAGCA